CCATTTGGAATCGTCGAACAGGCCCCTATGCATTCGAGTAGTAGGGGAGGTTTTGCACCAGGGAATTCATGGCATTATAACCGCTCAGGGCGCTCATGTCCTTAGGGGGGACATTGATGTGAGTGGGCCACTCATAGGACTCGGGACTAAGCCTTAGGAAGGAAATGATGAAAAAAAGAAATGATTCTGGGAAAGGATGTGAGCAATAATTGTTCCTCCCTTTATTCTACCAGATTAGTCCCCCGTCAACCGCCGGGACCTTCCTTTCCTGCGCAAGCTTTCTATCCTCCGCTATGGTCCCTTCCTCCTGTGACACCAACACCTGGAAGTGACGCGTATGCAACACAATGGTGTTTCATACAGTAGAAGGGACACAATCATGATATGACGGTAGATTTTTCGCTTCCCTTCCTCATCCTCCCTTCCTCTCTCCACTGCCCTCCAGCTGCCACTGCAGCACCATGTGGAATGAACGGAAGTGAAAAAAAAGGGAAGGCTGATTGGGAAAATGTGGAAGGGGAAAAGTGTGCTAAGCAGGTGTTTATATAGCCCTGAGAGTGTTATCACAACTCCTGCTACAAAACATTGATATCTCAAATCCTGTAAGCTACCCGATTTGTTAGCGGTTTGTTTATCCCATGAGCTTCCTTCTCACTCACTTCATTTTGCGGACGGACACACATACATACACACACACACACACACACACACACATACAGATACACCGACACACAAAGTTAGCGCTTTATAAAATAGAAGGATACGGCTCAGACTGCTAGCGTTTTCGTATGATCTGTTTCGAATGCTCTGCCCCTATGACATGAGCGCCTGGCCCTCATTTAGACAGAGCCTTCAGGTGCGAAGATATATGGGTCCATGGGCATTTTTCGTTTCTCCCTCTCAATCGCTTAATCCTTGTTCACCTACGCATCGGTCGTATTTTGATGTCCTCCTGACACCGCCACTCTGAGAAGGCTAGTTGCTCTTGCACACTAGAGACCCGGGTGATCCCCAGTTTTAAGTAAGCTCCTCACGGCCAGGCACAACCCCTTGTGAGATGAATAGGCTGAGACTGTCAGAAAAGGTGGCGCTTTTATGAACGGATTGGCTTCGCCCATTGCGCCCTGAAGCGCATGCCTGGGTGGACGAGGAGGACATTCAAAACAGGGCCGATGGTAGGTGGAACTACGACTGAATCCAGCAAAGGGAGAAATGCCAGGCAGAGCACAATTCGCTCACAGGCTCCAACATGATCCCTTCCACTTCCCTAGGCTTAGTCCCAAGCACAGGAATTGCCTCACTCACCTGGATGCCTCCCAAGGACATGAGCCCAGAGATTTCACTACCTGTTCTTATAGATAGCAATGTCGGCTGCTTCATCTCATCATCAGTCGAAAAACTGTCGCTTAGCCTAATTTTGCCCCATTAAAAAACAACTTTTCCATGCGGATCCCCCATCGGCGTACCCTTCTTTGCACGAGGGTAAGTTATAACATCATGCACAAATGAACCCTCAAATCCGATGTAATTGTTTACGAATCCATTTTGATGATATCAAGAATGGACTGATAGTTTACATCCTTCATCCCATCAGCAAGGGTGTCTCGAATTCTAGTGTGGTGCCATTGTAGTGCGGTTCGATTCCTGAGCAGGTCGTGGTCACAGTTCCAATCATCGATTCACCATGACGGAAGTAATCAAAGCCAGAGATGTAAGTCCTTACGCCTGAATTCTTCCTTCAGAGCTTGGGACAGATCTACCTTCATTTGAATATTTCAGGACGCGGATAAAATGACCCCGTTCCTCATCTTTTTTGGGGTGGGGTTCCTCTTTGGTCTGTTTCTGGCCTATCTGCATGTTCGTCTTGTAAGGTAAATTGACGGTACCGTACGTCGTTCAACAAGAAAAGAATAGCTAACGAATGTTCAGATCTATGGTCGAAGAACGACTTTCACATATTCCTAAAGCGAAGAAGGTAAAGGTGAAGAAAGGAAAGAAAGGGAAGAAGGGAAAGAAAGGAAAGAAGAAGAAGTGAATTATCGCTTTCGAATAAATGGTTGTCTGTTGGTAACGACGCGAATATATGTAAATATTGCCCTGATTTGTTCGATTAGACAAGAAGACAGACAGTACTGCTTGAATCCATCGATGGAATCATCCCCAGGTTTGAGTCAAGGGCCAAGAGAAGGAAAGGGCCATTGTCGTTCTCAAAGGTGAGGCATTGACCGGGTGAATGGCAATGTCTGGGCAGTGACATGGCAGTATTCAGAGTTGAAGGATGCGGAAAGATTAGGCGACAAGGGAATGATAGGTATTGATTAGGCGACTAGGCGACTTGGTGCGAATGTGGGAGCACGTCTGGATTTGATTAGCTCCTCCCACTATCGTCTGACGCCTGCTCGCCTAGTTCCCTGATCAATACGTATCTCTTTCATTCCTTATCACATTACACCCTGCATCGTCATCTCTGGACAATATCTAAGAGAGAGTTGATAACGCCGAAAGCTACCACTCGAGCACTTCACAAAGCTGTCGGGCTCCCGAATGGACAGTGTTGCCCAACTCCTGGACTCACAGCGCGCTTCGCTGCAGCGATGGAGCGCTGTGGTTTGAGTGAAGACCAGGGGGTGAGATGAGAACACATTTGGTGGGGATAGAAAGTGATAAGAGCTGATAAGAGTTGATAAGAGACTTCGAAACGCAAACTTCACAAGGTTCGCAGTGCGTGCGCCAGCTGCACTGATTGGCAGAACAGTGATGTAGAAGATGG